CGAAATCTGTCGAAGAAATATTTATTAACAAAGAGTAGAATATTGCCATTCCATTAAGAAAAGTATCTAAAGATATGTAAATTGCACCATTATTAATTGAATTATATATAATATAGTAAATTAAGTCAGTCATAACATAGGTTGCATGTAGACACATAGGATTTATTTAATAATATATTTAAAACTGCGTATTATAGGCATAGATACCGTATGATTGAGAAATATATTAGACAAAGTTAACCTTCATATCTGTGCTTTGATATATATTAATGCTCAATGTTGAACTTGTATCTTTTTGATAAACTTTTATTTATCGTATTTATTTGTTCTTATGTAAGTTGACAATATTAAACAGCCTCTACATCATCCCCGAAATGTTTTTTCCAGATGTTGCATCGTCGCCGTCGGACGGGACATAGGAAATCCCATGTAAATTTTAATGGGGTCAATTATTGGCTTCCCTAATTATTTTAGAGAATACTATTTAGGTTTATTGAAGAGCACTAAAACCCACATGCAAAAGAATAACTTTAGATATTTTTGATTAGCTCGTTTACGAGTTATCGCCGATTTCTTTTTAAATGTTTCTCCTTTATGACCCTGTATTTACTTATGAGCACCAGTTAAGGTAAAAGATAACTGTCAAATGAAGTTGTCATTGCAGAAATTTACCTATTTAGTGCTTTATTATTTATGTTTATTATTATTGAAAACTCATTCCTACATCGGAAATCTTAAAGATATAAATATATAAATACAAATTAATATGAATTAAAGTAAAATAAAGTAATCAATTACAAGGTTAATTATAGTATTATTGCAATATTCAATAACTTATTAATTTAGGTACTATTAAATTGTTAGAACTTTAGGATTTAAGAAGATGTTCAAATATTCCTCCATCGACTGCTAGACAATAACCCAGGCGATCGTAAAATTCTCTTCTTACATTCGCTAGTTGGTAAACTGAAATTCTATTGCATTTGGCAGAAGTAGCATTTTTTAATTCGTCTAGATTTGGGTATTTTTTATCCTTGTATATCCTGTTTTTTAAATGGCCCCAGAGAAAGAAATCATTTGGCGAAATATCAGGAGACCTTGCTGGCCAATTTACTATATGATTTAGGCCAATAACGTTTCCGTTAAAACTATTGTCTAAATATTCCCGAACAACCAAGGTACTATGTGCCGAGCAGCCATCCATTTGGTACCAAACTTCCTGATTTTTCCTAGCGGCATCATGTAAAGGAGGTAAAATATGATTTTCGAGTAGTTCCAAATAATATTCTGCATTTAAATTTCGCGTAAGAAATAATGGCCTGATAATATTGTGTCCGAATATCCCTGCCCAAACATTTACTTTCTGTGGATATTGCGTCCTTGTTTCGACAAACCTGTGTTGGTTTTCTTTGTTCCAATATCGATAATTTTGAACATTGGGTTCATTATTTAAAGTAAACGTGCATTCGTCAGTGAAACATATGTTTTTTTAAAAATTCCCTATCCATGTTTACTCTTTCCACCATATCAAGACAAAACGCCTGCCGCCGTATTTCGTCCCCATCTCGTAGCTCTTGGTGCTTTTCATATTTGAAGGAATAGTATTTGTGTCGTTTCAAAATTCGAAACGCTGTAGTGTGATCTATTCCTATTTCATCCTCAAGTTTCCTTGTGCTGATCTTTCCATCGTTCTCTTCCACGCACAATAAAACTTCCAAGTCGGTATCATTTCTTGCATCTTCTCTTTGTTTCTGCCTTGCTTTACATCTGCAGTTATTTATTACCTTTGGTCTCTCAAATCTCTGGATATTCCTTGCGATTGTAGATTTTCCAGGTATCGGTCTATTCGGATACAGAGCAGCAAAAATGTCCGACACCTTTTGATAACTATTTCCTTGATAATATCATTTAATCAACAATACTTTTTCTTCGGTAGTGTAATTCATGGCTAATATTTTCTATGTAGGTATGAGTTTTTAATAATAATGTTGCGGACCGGTGTGGACTCGACCTAACCTAACAATATGGCCCGCCCTCGGATGACCTTAACATCGCATAGACACCGCAATGCTTCATTCGAAGATTCGAGAAGGATCGAGTCCCACTGGAATGGAGTAGTACATACGAGAACATTCGAAAACCTTCTCTATGCACCTAACGATCTATGGACTATTCTAGTAAACTTTAACTGTAGGTATAAAATCCGGCGGCTGTGGCCTAGAGAGGGCAGTTATAAATATACAAGTGCAGTTGACGCGCTAAAATTCAAAATAAATTCTTAGTTATAAATCGTTTGTAAATAGTTCTATAAAGTCTTTTATCGTTATTGTTTTTTTGTTAATTAGTGTTAAATAAATAGTGTTTAAATAAATTGTGACTTTCTATCCACACGGAACCGACGAAAAACGTAACAATAATAATAATAAAGCACTAAATAGATAAATTTCTGAAATGACAACTTCATTTGACAGTTATCTTTTACCTTGACTGGTGCTCATAAGTAAATATAGGGCCATAAGAAAGGAGAAATATTTAAACAGAAATCGGCGATAACTCGTAAACGGGTTAATCAAAAATATCTAAAGTTATTCTTTTGAATGTGGGTTTTAGTGCTCTTCAATAAACCTAAATAGAAGTATTCTCTAAAATAATTAGGGAAGTCAATAATTGACCCCATTAAAATTTACATGGGATTTCCTATGTCCCGCTGGACGATGCAACACCCGGTATATTGACATTTCACAAAACATTTCTGGAAATAGTACGATAAATATAAGCCCGTGTTATAAAAATTAGTTCCCACATTTCTTGAAATAGATCGAGACCCACCGTGATTGGTCGTTTGTTTTTCATTGTTAAACCCAGATCTTCCAATCCAAAAACTTATCGCAACCTTATTAAAATATTTTGAACGGGAAAGCGGTAATAGTGGCCCTTTATGTCCCTTACGTGCAGTTAAAGAGGTGAGTTTTGTAGATGTAAATAATAACTGTTTATTGTTTATTTTTAATTAATTTATTTTTGTTTCCTAAAATATTTTGATTAAAAGAAAATATGTAAAAATAGGCAACGCTGTGCCGGTCAAACCTAATCACGCGACTAAAAGTTTAATGGCATGTACTATACAGGGTGTCCCAAAAATAAGTACAGTTATTTTAACTGGTAGTATATTTTGACCATGTTTTGACCCCATAAACACGCCTATGAGTTTTTTTTTTGAAAAACATTTTGGATTTTTTTTTACTTTTTTGTTAAGAAACACGATTTATTGATAATATGACAACATAGGTAGTATAGTAAACGCCACGAATGTTTGGGAATAATTTATCGGTCGCTACCATGTGAACTAATCTGTTCAAGGTCACATAAAACTTAATTCCAGTGCCGTGGTGTTTCAAATCATTATAATAATCAATATATAATCTGTTGTAATTTGTTGTTTTAACTGTCAAAGTCTTGTCAAAACATATATTTGGTTATAAATATAAAATGGAATGCCCCATTGGTCGCACTGCAAGCACACCAATGGACTGACGCACAAAAACGAATCAATCAAAGAAACGCGATATAGTATCGTCTTTGTCAATCACGCTAACATTTTAGAATAAGTAGGAGGAGCGCAGGCAGATGATTAGACCGGGCCTTTAAAAACCTACGTCTGCGGTAAAAATTTACGTTTTTAATGTAAAAATGATAGCGCGCGTGTCGATTCTAACTTCATCAAGCGATGAATCACTCCCAAACATTCGTGGCGTTTACTATAGATCAAATTTACAAGAAAGAAAACCCAGAAAAGATCCGGTGGTTCTCAAAATTTAAGCAAAAAATATTTTTTTTTTGGAATATTTTTTTGGAAAGTAAAATAACTCGGTTATTTTGGAGCTTTTCAAAAACGGTAATGAGAAAATATGTTTCTTTTATCGAGATCTACCAGCTAATCTAAAATACATAATATATCTAAAATATCTGTACTTATTTCTGGGACACCCTGTATATAAACCTCAGACAAATAAGAAATAAATAAACAAACCTTAGTTTACAAATCAAAATACCCAAGATATACAATGCAAATGTAAACAAAAGAATGAGGTGCCACTTATTTATTAAAAAAAAGTTTATTTATAATATAAAATAAATAATATAATGTATGAATATCATATATATTTATGATTATTATACAGAGCGATCAACAAAGGTTGAAATAGATGGCAACACTGTGTTAGAAGATTTTAAAATTAGTGATTGATAATGATGGTACGATAAAGGATTTTATTAAGTCTGTGGTCAAATCAAACTGTAAGTAAACAAACGTTTTGTTTGTTTACTTACAGTTTGTGCTTCTATAAGTTAAATCAAAACAAATTAATGTATATCGGTTAATCTATCTTTTATAACTAAATATAATGAACCCGTCTTCAAGGGTATAGACGTAGACAGAATCTCTATATATTTATACATATTATTATATTATTACGTCTTAATAATATAATCATTTTACGAATGATTACTCAGTGAAGTAATATTGAGTTAATTAATCATTCTTGTGTTGTGTGCGGTGAAAAAATATAAATATGAAGAAAATCGTGAGTGTTTTAATTGAAGGAAAAACATGTACGATTTTTTCCGAGAATAAATCCAAGTATACTCGTGTTCAATTACAATTGTAAATTCATTGAAATAGTAGTATCTTTAGAAAAATAATTGTTTTAGATTGAATAATACGTTATATATTTAGAAAAATACTTGGAATATTTCACAGCGGAAATGTTTATATTTTTATTCTTTGCCAACATCCTATTTTAACTTTCCGAGCCTTTTTTGTCTGTTTTAAATATACTACTAGTTATTTCAACTGTACTATTCCTTTCTGGTCATGTAAAAAACTAAAATTAGCTTTTAAAATGTGTGCCTCAACAACATCAATTAGCTCGTTGTAATTTCTTCACTTATCTTGATCTACATTCATTGTCATTATTAATCTCTTTCTTTTTTTGTTATAGGCGACTGGTGAAAAGCTACCAACCCAAAAAGAAAGACGAGGAGGATTACCAGTAAGTATTACATGCACTTAGCACCTCTATAATTTAATATTCTGCATAATTATTGACATGAATTATTCCGGTTGACGCAATTAGAATATTAAATTCCATATATCAGACTCTTTCTCTAATTTACATGTTGACCAAGCTATTGATTGAATATATAATATGATTTGTACAGTCGCTTTTCTAGACTATGCTATTTAACTAAATACCTTCACGTGCAAATTGTTGTTGCCTAATTATTTTAAAAACATTTTCCTTTAATTGATACTACTGTGTCTTTGTAGATGTAGATCAAAAGAAAATATTTATGTGTATCTCTGTGGTGTATCTCTTAAATAAGTGCAAAAATTTTACATTTTTTAACATTTTTCGGGAAATTTTAATAAACTTTTGAGTGCCGCAAGAACCTCCTCAAATTTCTTGACGGTACGCCTTGCAATGTTGCCATAGTCCAAGAAAATAGGCCTTCAAATACCAAGTTTTGGTAAAAACTTGAATTTTTGATATAATTTACTTTGAAAGATCCAAAAACGAATTGTGAAAGATTTTTTTTAATTCACCCCCGAGAACGGGTGAAATTAATAAATAAAAAATTTTTTTTCGAAATTTTGGAGAAACGGTAAGAACTAGAAAGAAACGTTCAAATAAAAATTGTAGAGCGTCAAATTTTACATACTCTATACTTTTTTTGCTGAGATCACAATTAACCGAGGTTAGGGGATGATAGTGGAAAAAATATAAGTTGCTGAAAAATTCATATATTTAACATTTTTATTCAATTTGGCTTGGAAAATTATAAATTTCAATTAAGATATTTTTAAATTCACCCCGAGAAGGGGTGAAAAATATAAATAAAGTTTTTTTTTCCAAATTTCAGAGAAACGGTAAAGACTTAAAAAAATGTTTCAATAAAAACTGTCCCCTAGCTTCTAGCCACCCTATCTCGGTTAATTTTGATTTGAGCAAAAAAAGTATAGAGACCATTTTTATGTAAAATTGCCAAAATTGGACGATCTACAACTTTTTTTTTCTACAAACCGTTTTTCCGAAATTTCGAAAAAATAATTTTATTTATTTATTTCACCCCTTGAGGGGGTGAATTTAAAAAAAACTTTTACAATTCGTTTTTAGATATTTCAAAGTAACTTGATAAAAAATTCAAGTTTTTACCAAAACTTCGTATTTGAAGACCTATTTTCTTGGACTATGGCAACATTGCAAAGCTTCGGTATCTCCTACGACATTCTGCATAATTGTGTACTATATATTTCACAGTAATATTAATTTTCTACACAATAAATTTTAATTATATCAGTGGCGGTACTAACAATTCTAGTAAATTGCAGTCTGTGTGCTTTTTTTTAACATGCACTGATACATTTTTACAATTATTTTTGACTTGAAAGAATGTATCATAACAATTATTGAGGATTCTGTTATCACCACTTTACGAAGTATTTTCAGTCATGTCAAGTGTACACTTTTTGGTGCATGTGGCAATACAGCGTGTCAATATCGGCGGTTCTCAAAATGTTTTTTAAAAAAAATAAAGTTAAATAACTCGGCCATTTTGAATTTATTTTAAAAATGGCTAATAGAAAATAATATATTTCTTTTGTTGAGATCTATACAGGGTATCCCAGAAATAAGTGCAAGTATTTTAACTAGTAGTATAGTTCAACCCCAGAAACACGCCTATGAGGTTTTTTCGCGAAAAAAAAATGAAAATTCGAAATTTTTTGAAAAATTTTTTTGATTTTTTTTAGTTTTTAGTTAAAAAACATAATTTCTTGATAATATGGCAACATGGGTATTAGATTAAATTTACAAGATAGAAAATCCAGAATAGATCCAGTAATTCTCAAAATTTTAGCAAAAAATCATTTTTTTTTTGGAAATTTTCAAAGTAAAATAACTCCGTTATTTTGGACTTATTTGAAAAACGATAAAGAGAAAATATGTTCCTTTTATCGAGATCTACCACCCCTTAAAATATTTGCACTTATTTCTGGGACACCCTGTATACTACCCCTTAAAATACTTAGCTTATTTAAGAGACACACTGTATATGTATCCAAACTATTTCGAAATGTAATCGATTTGATGTAGTCGATTATTCATGTAAAAAAGAGGAAAGGCAATCTAATGATAATAAATAGTTCTTCCTTGCAAATTATCTGAAAGTAAAAGAAAGCTGTTCAGATTCCTCTCGCCATTAACTCAATTAAAATGGTTGTTTTTTATTGTTATTAATAACACTTCGCCTTAATTAAAATTAATCCTATGCAAATTATTTCGTAGTGAAAGTATGTCTGCCCTTTTGACTACATTATATTACAGTTTATAAAATAATAGTTTACATCCATTAGTAGAAAACTCTAAGCAATCATCCTATATTTGACGAACTGAATTTTGATATTTTTCTTTAAAATGCCATACGAGGGGGAAAAACGGCGTCAAAGACGGCTGGGGTATTGCAATCGATGTTAATTTTGGCGAGGTCAAACCCTAGACGTCATTTACTTCGTTCGTACTCTTCTTTATTTTTCTAACATTTTTTTTAACGGTTTAGATGTGTTACCAATATAAAATTTATCACATTCGCGTGGCATTTTGTATATCGCATTAAAAATGGCTACTTAATTTTAAAAATCTTTATACAAATTTGTTTCAAATAGCCATATGATTTATCTATGTTATCATTTGATAAATATACCTCCATCATTGTCAATATAAACAAAACGTCTCGACATGCAACAATCTCGACATGCTTAAATAAAGCAGCATGCCTAATTGTTTTAGCCACTTTAATAGAGACTGAACATTTGCAATCGTTATCCAAGTTAATATCGTTAATTAATTAGTTGATAGACTTTTATCTTTTTGACATCTGTCCATTGATTGGATGCCATTATTATCTAAGAATAATTTTTTATCACAATTTTTATACTTTGGTTAAAACGTTTTTTGTGTACCTATATGAAATTAGGTAAATTTGTGTTATTTTCACATTGTATTTTTTATATAAAGTTCATTAATATAATTTTTACCGCTGTGTAATTAAATAAACGTCTAATACGTATAATGTCAACATAACAGTATCTGTGAGCAGAACAATTGCATCTCAGGACGTATTAAAGTGACGAATAATTAAAGTAGAGATATTATTTTTAGTTGGGTACTTATATTAAGTAGTTTAATGAGTACTTTTGCTTAGTTAATTTTTGTTCTTGTCTTCTTTGGTTATTTTTATTGTCTGGGGGCTAGCCTACATATAAGTGGAATTATTGTAAGTAGTTACTTAAGCACTATTGGTAGCTTTCCGTGTTGCTTAATTATGATAAGGTCTATCACTTTTTTCTTTTGCGAAAATTTTCAAAAAAAAAATGGAAAATTTATTAGAGGTATTTGTTGTTATTATATTTCTTTAAATTATTAATATTTCTTTAAGTCTTTGCTCTATGTGCTCTTAAAAAATAAAGAGAAACACTGAATATCTCTGTACAGTTTTTAAAAAACCCATTTGTCTACAGTGCTTAAGTAAAATCGTTTAAATTGCTGCAAGTATAAAAATATGTTAAAATATTACTTTTTATGTTTACCACGTATTTCAAGGTAACGTAAATATTCAAGGCCGTGACACACGAGCTCGCGAGAGGAAAAGTGGTAACGATCTTGGAGCGTCGTAACTTTGGCCCTATGTAAGCTCGGGGGCAGAATGAAGGTAGTAAAACAAAAGATGCAATCAAAAAATCGTCCGATTTAAATGAAACTTGGTACGTCAATAGATTGGACCAAGGCCAACTTGACAGTGTACGACACGTCACTGTAACAGTTGGTCTTGACTTAAGAAACGTCGTCCGATCGCGACCAAATTTAGTGGGTAGGCTATGTGAGCGACGGTGCACACGGTCCCACCCTGCAAAGTTGGATACGACGTTTCGTTTACATCTTCATCAGGGTGGGACTAAGGATTTGATATTGAAGAAAAATGTGGGTCGATTTTCACATAATTGGGGACGGGCTACAGGATGACGGCCTCGACGTTTCGAACCGATGCCTCTAAATGGACGAAATCGTCAGGATTTTTCTTAATTATGGGTCGATTGGAACCAAACTCGGCACGTGAATAGAGATATACGGATGGAGTCCTCAGACGGACAGACAGACGGAAGTAAGAAGAAGATTCACTTCACATATGCGCATATAGTGTACACACTTTTTTTTAAATTAATGTTTGATTGCCGATTCACAATTGTTTGTATTATGTGTATACAGGGTGGTCCGAATTGTATTCCGGAAACTTCGGCAACACATTCTGCAGATAAAAATAAGTAAAAAACTTCTTATAAATGCATGTCCTTATTACTCTTCAAACCAGTTAAAAATATGTAGGTGGCGCCCTCTACAAGTAGGAGTCATATTGATATCAAAATCGAATTTCTCATATCAAAAAACTACCAGACACCAAATTTCATCCTAATATTGATGTTACTTCAGAAATTATTTGAAAAAAATCGAAATAAAAATGAAACTTCTACACCCTGTATCTCCGAAACTAAGCATTTTAGGACATACATTTATAAGAACTTTTTTACTTATTTTTATCTGCAGAATATGCTGCTGAAGTTTCCTGAATACAGTTCGGACCACCCTGTATATTTTTAACTATCTCATGTAAACTAATAAAAGTTTCGAGAAATACAAAAATATTTTATTTGTTATTAAATGATGTAATTTAATAGAGGTGTGTAACTGACCACTCAGGGGAATTATTAAATGTAACCGTAAAGGGTTAAAAATAATTTTGGTGAAGTACTGCCATGACGCTGTCAAACTTTTATTGGGCAAGCTGAAAGTAAACAAATGACATATTTGAAATGAAACTTAGCTTATCCATTAGGCTATGCCCACTGCATTATTACAAATCATAGTACCATATGCAAATCCTTAGCGCTAAACGGTCGCTTATTAACTTTAACAATGCGGAACGGTTATTACTTATT